CAGGTTGGGTCCATCCGCTGTGGGGGGAGGGGCGGGACCTCGAGAATCTTCCTCCAAAATCCCCGAAATCGCCCGAATTTAACCCAAAAAATCCTACGAAAGAACCCCCAACGTTCCTCCAAAATCGTCTCCAAAATCCCCCAAAATCCTCCCTAAAATTCCGAAATCCTCCCCAAAATGCTCCCAAATTCACCCAAAATCCATCCCCAAAATGCTCCCCAAAATTCTCCCAAATTCACCCAAAATCCATCCCCAAAATGCTCCCCAAAATTCCCTCAAACCCTCCCCAAAATGCTCCCCAAAATGCTCCCCAAAATTCCCCAAAATCCTCCCCAAAATTCCCTCAAATCCTCCCCAAAATTCCCTCAAACCCTCCCCAAAATGCTCCCCAAAATTCCCCAAAATCCTCCCCAAAATTCCCCCAAATCCTCCCCAAAAATCCTCCACAAAATCCCCAAAATTTCCCCCAAAATCTTGACCCACGGAAGGGGCCCAGGGGGAGAATTTTGGGGCATTTTTTGGGTGGATTTTGAGGTACATTTTGGGCAGTTTTGGGGTTTTTTTGTGTAGTTTTTTAAAATATTTTTGGGTGGATTTTGTGGTATTTTGGGGTGGATTTTAGGGAGCTTTTGGGATATTTTTGGGAGGGTTTTGGGGTCACTTTTGGGTGAGTTTTGGAGTATTTTTGGGGTATTTTTGGAGTAAATTTTGGGCGGTTTTGGGGCATTTTAGGTGGGTTGTTTGGGTATTTCTGGATATGTTTTGGGTAATTTTTGGGTGGGTTTTGGGGTCACTTTTGGGTGAGATTTGGAGTATTTTTGGGGTCACTTTAGGGTGGTTTCGGGGCCACTTTAGGCCAGTTTTGGAACTTCGTGGTATTTCAGGTGGGTTTTTTGGGTATTTTTGGATAGGTTTTGGAGGATTTTTCGGGCATTTTTGGGTGGATTCTGGGGCATTTTTGGGTAGGTTTTGGGGTATTGGGTGGATTTTGGGGTGGTTTTGGGGCATTTTTGCATGGGTTTTGGGGTATTTTTGGGTCTATTTTGGGGCATTTTTGAGTCGATTTTGGGGCATTTTTGGGTGGATTTTGGGGCATTTTCTGGTGGGTTTTGAGGCATTTTTGGGTGGGTTTTGAGGTATTTTTGGGTGGCTTTTGGGGCATTTTTGGGTGGATTTTGGGGCATTTTTGGGTAGGTATTGGGTGGATTTTGGGGTGGTTTTGGGGCACTTTTGGGTGGATTTTGAGGCATTTTTGGTGGGTTTTGGGGCATTTTTGGGTGGATTTTGGGGTATTTTTGGGTGGATTTTGGGGTGGTTTTGGGGCATTTTTGCATGGGTTTTGGGGCATTTTTGGGTGAATTTTGAGGCATTTTTGGGTGGATTTTGGGGCATTTTCAGTGTCACTTTCCCGCCGTCCGTACCGATCGCTCTGTCCCGTTCCGTACGGATCGCTCTGTTCTCTCCCGTTCCGTTCCCGTTCCCGTCCCGTCCCGTCCCGTCCCGTTCCGTTCCGTTCCGTTCCGTTCCTTAACGATCGCTCCGTCCCGTTCCGTTCCCATCCGTTCCGGTCGCTCTGTTCTCTCCCATCCCGTTCCGTTCCCGTTCCCGTCCATACCGATCGCTCTCTCCGGTTCCGTTCCATTCCCATCCCGTTCCCGTTCCCATCCCGTTCCGTTCCCGTTCCCGTCCATACCGATCGCTCTTTCCGTTCCCATCCCGTCCCGTCCCGTCCCGTCCCGTTCCCGTTCCCGTTCCCGTTCCCGTTCCCGTTCCGTTCCGTTCCGTTCCGGTCGCTCTCTCCCATCCCGTTCCGTTCCATTCCCATCCCGTCCCGTCCCGTCCCGTCCCGTTCCGTTCCGTTCCGTTCCGTCCCGCTCGCTCTCCCCGTTCCGTTCCGTCCCGTTCCGTTCCGTCCCGTTCCGTCCCGTTCCGTTCCGTCCCGTTCCGTCCCGTTCCGTCCCGTCCCGTCCCGTCCCGTCCCGTTCCGTCCCGTCCCGTTCCGTTCCGTTCCGTACCAATCGCTCTGTCCCGTCCCGTCCCTCCCCGGCCGCCGTCCCCTCGTGCCGCGGTCGCGGCGCCGCCCCGATGGCGGCGGGCGGCGGGGCCGGGCCCGGGCGGGCCCTGGAGGCGCTGCTGGAGATGGGATTCGGGCCCCGGCGGGCGTGAGGGCGGCACCGGGACACCGGGACA